GTTCCTGATGCGGACGCCGCTCGTTTCTCTGAGTTTCATGTAGATGATGGGGTGAACCACGGCCAGGTAGCGTTCCACACAGGTCAGGACGTGAAGCAGGCTCTGTCCAGGGAAAATAACCCCAAATGAAAACACTCCCATCTTCAGAAGCATCTCAATATTACTAAAGAAGCTCAAAGTGTAGAGGAACGAGCCCCAAACACCACAAATCTCCACCAGCATCATGTTGTAGGTGAAGAAGTCAGAGTGGCTCATCGGCTGACGTCTCCATCGATGGAAACCCATGTAGAGGACGAGGACGCAGAGCGGAAAGAGAAGGAGGACGTTGGTGAAGGAGTAGACGCTGAAGAGGACGTTGCTGGCTATTGAGTGCTGGCATTCTGAGAAGAAAAAGCGGATGGGGGAGGAGGAGTTGGTGGACATGGTCTGCAGAAGAAGGAACAGAAAACAGCAAAATATGGAACAATCTGACATCCATCGGAAGCGGCAACAGTATAAAGTCATCGTGTATGCAGATGATGTTGATGTGTTCAACAGTGATGCACAAAATCTGTCCTTCACAAATAAATTCAACTACAGCAGGATTTTGGCTTTGGGACATTTCACCCTTTTAAATTGTCTGAGTTGACATTAGAACTGACATTTCTGCATTCACTGTTATTTCAACATTGACTATGCGATCCATTTTTGTTCCACTTATATCCCACCTTTTGAACTTATTGAAGGGATAATCCCTCCCACAAATTCAGGGTCAACCCCGTGGTTTCCTCCCAGCTGGACATGCTCCAAAAACCCCCAAAGGAAGTCTCTCAGAAGTCATCCAAATCAGATGTCCGAACCACCTCAGCTTACTTCGTGAGGCAACGGATCAGCAGCCCTACTCCAAGTTCCCTCCAGATGTTCGAGTTCCTCACCCTGTCTGAGGCTGAGTCCAGCTATCCTACGGAGGAAGCTCATTCAGTCTCCCGTAACCTTGATCTTGTTCTTGGAAGGAGGGTTGGAATGTAGGTGGATTAGTAAATCAAGAGCTCTGCCTTTCAGCTCAGCTCACTCTTCATCACGACGGTTCAGTAAAATGTCCTCATTTCTGCTGATGCTCGACTAAGCCACCTGCCCATGTCTCACTCCATTTTCCCATCCCTTGTGAAGATCCTGAGATGCTTAAACTCCTTCAACTGGGGAAGTAACCTCCCCCCTAACCAAGACGGAACAATTCAGCAGTTACCAGCAGAGAACCATGGCCTTGGACTTGGAGGTGCTGACTGGCATCCCAGCCCCTTCACCTCCCCCAGGATGCAGCAGAAGCTCTTCTGGAGGTGGAAATTGAAAACTTCAAGAACAGGGGCCTCCACCAGACCTTCCCAGCTCACCCTCACTACACATTTGGGTTTACCAGGTCTGTCCGGTTACCTTCCCCGACATCGGATTTAACTCACCACCAGGTGGTGATCAGCTGACAGCTCTCCATGATCTGTCTTGTGTTATGGTCTTTGGCTGAAGGTGCTCTGGTACCATGTACACTTATGAGCCCCTTTATGCCCAAACACGGTGTTTGTTATGACCCATCTATGACTTGCACAGAAGTCCATTAACAGCCGTTCTTCCTAATCACCCCCCTCCAGGTTTGTCCGTAATTGCCCACGTGAGCGTTGAAGTCAACCAGGAGAACTATGAAATCCCCAGGTGGCACCCCTTCCAGGAACCACCCAGAGACTCCAACAAAGCCGAGTAGTCTGAGCGGCTGTTCAGTGCATGAGCACAAACAGAAGCCAGATGTTTCCCCTCATCAACGCACAGTTGCAGAGAAGCAAGAACTCCAACAGAGCGGCACTCAGCCGGGGACTTGTGAGTATCCCCACACCTGCCTGGCGCCTCTCTATTCTGGGCAACTCTGAAAAAGGAGAACGTCCAGCCCCTCTTCAGGAGTTTGGTTCCTGAAACCCTGCTGCGTGTGGAGGTGAGCCTGACTGTATCTAGCCAATATCGCTCCGACCTCCCACACCAGCCCATCAGTGAGGTGGTGTCGTGACCTCACAACCAGTCCACGCCACCAGGGGGTGGCAAGCCTAGGTGCCTACTCCTGTTCACTGTCTGATTTGCATAGCACTCAACCCAGTTTTCTAGCCCTGTGGGTGTTGCTTCCTGTCTGAGCCCAATGGGGCCCCAAACCTTGGCCACCAGATGCTCCCCGGTGAACTCCCCTCTGGGCCTGACTCCAGGAGGGGCCCCAGTCTCTCTCTTCTGGGCAAAGTGGCGTCTCTCCCTGTTGCTGTTCAGGGTTTAGTTAATTTATTATTCTTACAATATTTGTTTTTAAACCCCAACAGGAAATACGATATAAATAAATGTACATAATGCACAGAAATGTCAAATTAACGTGTTTTTTTGTTGCTTCGTACACTTACAAAGACATTTGCAGACAGCAGTAATTTCTTTACATTTCATATATAAATATTTTTCTTTTTTACAAGATACATGAAATATATATTTTACATATTAACATGTTTAATTAGCTTATTTTTCTATTTTACTGATTAAAAAAACTTTGAATAGAAATGTAAAATTTAGGTTTGTTAGGTGTAATTCATATATTTTTTACATTGGATGAACAAAACACATAATGACGTGTTCAGTGCCATTATATAATCGTTGTCTGAAATTTTCAAAAACAAATTACAAATTCGTCCACATCGGCAATTTTTCGCAGGTGAAATTTACTATGTAATCTCTAAAACTATGATTAAAACATTATTTTACATGTACAAAACCCTGCTGTTTGAAACATGTAGTTACAAGCCTGATAAATTTACATGATGTTGTTTTTGTGGGAGTTACGTAATGAATGATCTTGTTTTTCTATCGTTTGTCTGATGCATCAATAATCAGTTTTCCAGCCAGTTTTCCAGCTTACACAGAGTTTAGTTATGCAATCAAAAAATACAGCAATGCGTCTGTATTTTGTGATTTTAAAGCACATTTTTCTTCGCTTATGCTTCACTGTTTGTTCTCCTTTTATGGATTTTGAGCTCCACAGTGAACCACAAATATGTATTTAAAAAATCCTGACATTTTTCTGTAATCTTGACAAAATCTTTATTTAATTCAAAGTAAAATTCTGCATAAGAGAAACGAGGAACAAGACACTTACCTGACTCAGTCCTGCACCAGTAAATGTCCGGTAATTTGTAAATTACTACGAAACAGTGAGCTGCGTTCGGGAAGGAGTTTACCTGGACAGGTGTGGTTCTCTGTCTGGAGTCTGCAGGTGTTCTGTCAGCCGGGTTATTGATGATGTGTTTGTGAGGGAGGAAAATAAACTGTGGAGTCTTTTGCATGTGCAAACCGATTCATCACACGTCAGATTTACCTGCTCGGGCGCAGAAAGAACGACGGGCTACAATAATAGTGCATACATTAAATCTAGTAGAAATCAACAACTGGTCTGTGACTGGTCCCAGTTAACGGGTCCATTTCATTTCTGATCAAAGATATCTACAATTGATTTCTCACAACTTTACTTCTTCTGACATCACAGACGTCATGAAGTGACTTTTTAATTAAATTCAATTCAGACAAGTCAAAATAAAACAGTTGGAATCACTACAATCTCAAAAATACCGTTTGGATACAACAACAAAAATGAAGTTTGCATCAGTTACAACAACTTCTGATGAAGTGATGTTTCACCAACAAACTGGTCTCAGTGAAGACAAGAAGCTGGATTTATTCACGCTGGTGGCACGAACACAAGTTTTTAAGTTTTCTGCTCATAAGAATCACATGTCCACATTGTTTAAATGAGTTTTTAAACGCTTCATGCACTTCATTACCACATTCATGAACACAAGTTTGTGAGTCTTTAGTAAAAATTTCTTTTGACTTCAGTGAGTCGCAGATCTAAAACCTCGATATCACACAAAAATAGGAAAATATCTGTACAGACATATGGACAAAAATCTGTTTTAAAAGTGATGAAATGTTGTTTCTACGACAGTTTTACGGATGTCTTCAATTAATATATATATAAAGACAACAATCAACATCCTGCATTTAGTTTCTAATTCATCTAAAGAATAATTTCTGATTAAAATCCAGATAGTGTCACATTAATAAGTTCTTTAAATAAATAAAATAAAAAGATTAAATAAAGCTGAGAAACAAGGTGATGAATGGTGGTTTATTCACACCCTGCTGCCTCTCTGATCGTGCTGCTTGGTAATATTTATATTCTAATACTTATAAGTTCAAGTTTGTTGAATGACTCCAGTCGGAACCTTTTTGCAGCGCACCGGACGGAACCTTTGTCCATTTCCAGTCGGACTGTTATTGTGGACGGACCGGTGCACCTTGAACCGTCAGGGTTCCGCTCTCTCTCCCTTTGCTCCTCCGTCAGATCGGTTCTGGTTCTGTGCACCATGTCCAGCTTCCCTCCGCTGCTCAGCAGGCGCCTCAGCGCCGCCGTGCTGCGTCGGAACCGGAGCGGCTCCCGCGTCTACTCGAGCTCCGCCGGGAAGAGTTCGGTCCGGATCGGCTGCGCCTCCGGGTTCTGGGGGGACACCGCCACCTCAGGTAGCGACTCAGCCGGAGGGAGCTGACCGAGCGGCGGCAGCTTCCTCCGGACACCAGCGGGAGGAGCACGCCGGTGTGTCCGTGTGAGGGCGGCGTGGCTCCGGAGGGTTCGGGTCAGGGTTCGGGTCAGGGTT